TGGGCTAGCGTTGCAATTTAACAAAACAAACATTGTTTTACAAATTGTGAACAAAACAAAATCAGTTTGAGTAATCCATTTCAAAATATATTCACCATTTATAATAAAGAATCTTCAATAGCCAAATCACTGTTATAAATATTTATTTGTATCTATTGAACAATAGGCAATCAACATGAAGTGCAAGCTGCATGTATTGCAAATTCTGCTGTACTGCTAACTGTGAACCTTGTTACCCTATCTGGCATAGTCCAGCAGTCTGCAGTATTACTGTGATGGAAGCTATACAAATTCTGTGAAAATAAAATTGAGAAAGACAAAAATAGGTGCATGCAGTATTCTCAAATGATAACCTAGACAAATAAAAAAGACTGACACATGAAACCTCATGTAGATTCTAGTACTGCAAAAGCAGCAAAGAGCTGTGTTTGGGAAAGAGGCTGCCAAGCAGATATGGAATAATCAGGGGTGTCAAACTGGCAGTCCTCCAGCTGTTGCCAAACTACAAGTCCCATCAAGCCTCTGCCTTTGGGAGTCATGCTTGTAACTGTCAATCTTGCAATGCCTCATGGGACTTGTAGTTTGGCAACAGCTGGAGGGCAGCCAGTTTGACACCTGTGAATTAGGTTATTTGGTCAGTGTGAAAAAAGAACACATCACATGTGAATGCCATTATAGAAGGAATGTGTAGAAAGTGTGTTTTAGCAAGGAGTGTTTAATTAAAGGGCCAGTAAAGCTAAACTACAATAAGAGGAATTTCCTAAGACTGAAACAGCTGTGCACGGCAACCAATCCGTTTCTTCCTTTAATTTTCAAAATGTATCTATGCATAGTAACCAACTTGCTTCTAGTTTCACTTTGTTCAGTTGTTTCCAGTTTTAGTAAATTCCCTCCAATGCGTTTAAAAGGTACAGAGATTAGCAACATTTATGGCTGTATGCAAAATCATAATGGCTTTAGAACGGAAGATAGATGGCAAAGATAAAAGTGTGCATTTTTTTTTTTTTTTTTTTTTTTTTTTTTTTTTTTTTTACATACAGCTGGCAGACTTCCATTGATTCTATTAAATATTACTTTAGGTAAACATTTGAAGTAAATGCCGTAGATGGATCAAATCGTGGCCGGTGTAGCTGGGACCAGCTGAGATATGATCCATCTACAGGCACATGTACTGAATTCAATCCATTGATCAACCAGCCTGTTGGATTTTTTTCATGTGTTTATTATGTTCTGCTGGCAGTGAAGGCTTCCCATTGGCAGAACACAACAGCACTGAGGGTGGGATTCCCCCATTGTGTCCGTGAATTGAGGAATTTTCTTTTCTTCTAACCCTGGAATCTATGGGCTGCTTTACAGGACTTACTGTGCAGGGTGGGCTTGAGGATGGAAGCACCAGAGAAGGCTGCTGCTCATCATAGAGAGGTAAGTAAGCACCTGGGAGGGAGGGTTCTGGGTTAAATCACAGGGCTAGAGATTGGGCTTTTTTGTAAACTGAACTGGTCCTTTCAGGTTTCTTAAAGTAAACCTTGAGAGCAAAATCAATCATAAGCGATTACATACTATTGGCCTGGATTAGCTGCAGGAGCCAGTACCCCCTATTGCTTTCAATGGGTCTGCCTCCTGTAGCCAATCACCTGGAACACCTGCTGGGGTTTTTTCATGTAATGAGTATCTGGCCCATTCACAGGTGTGAATGTGGCCAAAGCCTAACGACAAAATGGAATAGGCTACACTGATCTTTACTACAAATATAAACACAATCTGTCCTATGTATTTTAGATTAACTGGTCCTTTAGCATTGGTATTGGTCCTAAACTAAAGTAAACTAAGAAAAAAATAAACTTGAGAGGCTGTAAATCCACCAGTTCCACTCTTTGGTCATGCTAATCAAACATATCATTTGGTATAATGCACACCAAACACCTTTTACATACAAGATGTGGTGTATGGAATGGATACAAAAAATAAGTTATAGCACTTTACAGCCTGAAGTACACAGTGAAATCACTGGAGTGGTTAGCGGTTTCATACACAGCCAAGACACATAGGTAAAATCTGTAATTGCAGCATACTATACACCTGAGCCATGGGCAGCCATGACATTTTAATAACCATCAATATTGAGAACGGATATAAACATTAAAGAAAAAAAAATACTAAAAAAATAAAGCATTTGAACATGGCTATTAAGGAGGAGTAGTTTAGATTACTGTACTATAAAAAGTGGTAATTCTAGATTCTAGGGATTCATGCTGAGCTTTTTTTTTTAATAAAAATATATTTTTCCTGAGCATTGCAGAGAACACTCTGTAGAAAATAGCATTTTATGACATTCATCAGCAAAATGTCTGCCTAATGCATGCACATACAGACAGAATATGTATGGAAGTTTTATGGAGGAAAGCTAGTTACTGCAGACTTCTGCATGTTAACATTATACAAAGGATATAAAAAGGACAAAAGATGTTAAGACCATGATGTTAAAGTTGATCAACTTTCATTGAAGTTGTTCGTGACAGCACCAAAGAAAGCTGCAGGGATCATCTGATTTCCAGTTTTGGGGCTAAGTCACTGCAAAGGTAGAAAATGAAAACAGGAAAGCCTACAGCCACCGGTCAGAATTTGACTCTCTCAGCGAATGACTGGATAGTTACTAATGAAAATTAATTTTTTCTCATTTTCTTTCTCCAGTTGTAATGAATTAGACCACCATAACACATATGAAATGTAACCATATCCATATCTTCCATATTTTAGGACATCGGTTTCATATTACAAGCATTTAATTAAAAGAATAAACTATTGCCAATTTGCCTTAATTACATGCAGAAGGTATAACGATTATTTTTCTTCTGATGACTTACTGGATCATAAAAGATGTACAACCTTTACTAAAAAATGAAGGAACAGGTTATGATGTATTAACAGTTTCTAGAAAGAAACATTACAAAAAATAAGTTTATCTGAAAGTGGAAAACTCAAAATGTGAAGCAACAATCCAAATTTTTAAAGAATCCAACAATCCACTGAGGTCCATTTTTAAAGGTTTTACCCATTTTCACACCTTTTTTTTTTTTTTAACGTTGTGTTAATCTTGTGTAAAAGACCACTATGCGTTCAAAAGGAATATTTTGCCAATTCAAACTAAAGTTCAGTTCTTATTGTTGGATAGAGCAAGGAAGAATTAGAATATGTCAGGTTTTTACCACTAACTGGAACTTTAAACAGTGCCAGACAGGAAGTGAGAGGAACTCTTTATCAGCAACACAGGCAGAAATAAAACACTCTTCCATAGTAAAACCAGGAGGAAAAAAAAAAAAAAAGAAATTGTGTCAGATCAGTTTGTTCTGTCCCTGTTGCAGATTTTTTTTACTCACTTTCTTTCTGGAAATTAGGGTAAATCTCCCCAACTGGTCTCCTTGTATAGCAGTACAAACATGGCGGAAGGTCTACATTATCTCCCTGTCTATCAAAAACTAAAAAAGTTTTTGGAGTTTTAATGTATAAAATTGGTACAACCTTTTTTCTGGAAGTGCATATATAATTTAGCTGTGGATTTAAAGTTTCTATCCACTTCTCTAACCACTAGGATATGAAAGCAAGGGTAATAAAATAATCATTGTAGACAATGGTATTACTTGTCTGCTTATACTAGAAAAGGCTTCTGATGTATCAATTTTCCTCAGACAGAAATGTTTACATTTACTGAAAATGTTGTGTCCATACAAAAATTTCACAAGTAACTGAAGATCACTTCACTTTACAATTGTCCATCATTGAAATGAAAAAAAAAAAAACAAAACTGGGCAATTCCGCAAAGGATACTTCAATGCTTGCATAAAGCATGAATGCACGTGATTTGTAATGCATATAATTTGCAAATCCACTTCTCATTGTCTCCTTCCAATACTATATTGATCAGAAAGGTGGAAATATTCTATAATAAAAAATATATCTATTCCTCACAGCCTTCTTTGGGTGTCACAGCCATATAGTTATTACAAAGAATGGGCCTGCAGCAATTTTAAGTGCCCCTAACATTATTTTCTGGGTTTTTTATAGTTAGTCATACTACAAATTAATGCACATAATGTCAGGTTCTGATATTGATGCCATTCTGTAAATCTCTGTAAACCTCAAACATCTGTTACTACTTTTTCTACAACTTTAAGACATCTAAAATTTGGAGAATTGGCAAAAACATTTATAGAGATCTTTGACCCTCACAGTAGCAATGGCTTCTACACTGCTTGGTTGAACTTGCAGGTAAAAGTCAAGATTATTAAAATGACCAGTACTTTTATTTTCTGGATGTAAATGTTTTTAGAACGTCAAATTAACAGGTCATATCTCAAATCTAAAAAGATAAGAAAGTATGATGAACTATATGACTTATCCCTGCACAGAAGCCAGTCTACATTAGGAAGAGGGATACAGTTGAGATGCAACTAAACAAGTCTAATTTCTGTGCATTATTTCTTTAAGTTATTACTCAGGTTTAGATCTCTTTAAATTAAAGCAAAAATAACTTTTGGTTCCACCATCAGATATGACAAGGAAGACTAGTTTTGAAATACAATGTAAAAGGTGCTAATCCGTACATGTACGTTTATGTACGTTTGGGTGGGTAGATAACACACACATCTGTGTGTGTTACATGTATAGATCATATGCATGTACCCAAATATAAAGCAATTACATTATGAGGTTAGTTAAAGGAAATATGGCTCTCTATGAATGCTTGGATTTATAGACAACAGGCCTTGAATTAAAATAAAAAAACTCTGGTTTTCATTTCAAAAAAGAAAAATAATGAAGAAATATACAAACTTAGAACATATTCCAGAACTGCTAAGTAAAACAGAGCTTATCACTCTCATTCAGGTAGCCAAAGTTTGGCAGAGCTGGTGCTTTAAGGTTCTAGGTCTGTGATAACAGAAATTCAAATACAGGCACAGTCCAATTTGATGGAGCAAGGAACTCCATTAAGGCAAGGTCTCTCACAGAAGAACACATCGAAAGAAACTGCTCTTCTTCTGTTGTTCTGGGGTTATTTTCACTCCTTGATTACTGCTCTGGGAACTGTTTCCCTCCTGGAAAAAAATATAAAATGTGTTAAACCTATCACAATGTTTCTAGGAGTCACCTTATTTCACATCATGGGCCTTGCTAATTAAATGGCCTTCAGTAAATCAAACACGATATAAGATAACATCGGGCAAAAAATTTTTTACATCAGGTTACCACAATTAAGATGCAATAACCTCCTACATTGCGGAATAAGCACAGTGCCATAACATACACACCTTCTTGCTGGCACAGTCTGGGCAGCATGCAAGCCTCCCCTATCTCCAAAACACCCACTATGTAGCTACTTTCTCTTCCAAACTCTGCAGCTGCTCTTGCACACACGGAGACAAAAATTGCCCAGCTTATATCGGCTTCCCTACTGACCTAAATCCAATGGGTGGCATGTGTGATTCGTAAGCAAAAAGTCAGGCCCTGCAGGGAAGAACATTCACCATTTGTATGCAAAGTGACCATGCAAGGACAGATAAGTTTCGTTAGTTTGTGTGGTCAGTTTAAAGCAGGAACCCAGAGCAAATGGCAGGATCACCAGGTATTTTGCAGCAACACACATAATAACAAAGTTATAGGCAACATTTTCAGTATATGAATAATTGAGCACATGTGTGGATTTTTAATTTTTGTAGTAACAAAGTAGTCCAGGAATTCACCAAAGCAGCATTCCCCATCAAACGCCATACTCAAAAGGTGTTTCTTGCACAGATGTTCCACAGATCAACATTTACGGCAAAGGGCCCTCCACATGTGTACAGAAACAAAACTCATTCTGGACATCAGGTGAATAATATCCACCAACCCATCAACGCCATAGAGTGTGGCCACAAGCATGAGCTCCAGTTGTTGGAGGACAGAGGGTCTGCAAGGACAGATCCAGAATTCCGAGACATTTCCTTTGACCAGGCACCGAAGGTCTAGCACATGGACATTTGGCAGGTTTCAGGACAGGGCCAGCAAGGGAGAATAAGGCCTTGGGAAGAGCGTCTAATTTATTATCCACCGGGTCTTTAACCCCTTCCCAAAGCCACTTCCCGGCCCTTCAAGAGGTTCTAATGCTTCACAGTAAGCACATTGCTTTGAATGGCTGTGCTGTGCACAGTCATCCATAGCAGTGCACCCGAGCTGACAGGGAAAACTGTTAGTAAACAAAACAGTTCTCCTGCCAGTCAGATCCTCGGTAATCACCGGGCGCTGGCGAGTAATCACCGGCCGGGATCCGGTGATCGACAGCAGCGGCCGCGAAAGGCGCGCCATTACCTGGAAATGTAAAATCACATATATATATATATATATATATATATATATATATATATATATATATACACACATACATATACATACATACATACACACGTGGTTTTGCGCACCCGTAGTATTTCTGCTATAGGGCGGTCGGGAACCGGTTAAGCTTGGAACCAATAGCTTCTGGAGCAAAGGATCATAAAAGGTATTCTGGTATACATACCTCTGTGTTCTCAGCAAGCCCAGCACCGGGAACACTTGGGGGGATGTGGCCAGCCCAAAGGGCAGTGCCCCAAAACAAAAATGGCGATTCCTTACTGAAAATCGCAGAAACCCTGAAAAAAAATTGGCACACAAAGATAAGCATCATTGAGGACTATGGACACCTGAAATCTATCTCTTGCAGAGAGGCCACCATTGATCATACCGATCGCATCCAAAACAGAAGGTCATCTAGGCTATGTCTAGTGCCTTGAGATCTAAGATAGATCTCACTTGCCCGTTTGGTTCTGGGCCCGCCAACCTGTCGAGCGTCTTACAATAATGAGCCCATAACTTCTGTTCCAAGTGAAAATGCAAGGCAAAAGCCTGACAACTCTGAAATGAATCCAGAAGGTCCCAAGGGGACAGGAATCATCTCAGAGACTTCCTAGCATCCTCTACCCAAAATACTTCACAAAACATAGCAGTCTCAGGCTCTGGAGGGGAAAAGCTTACAGCACCTGGTATTCCCAGACAGTCTGCCCTCCAAATACCAAGCGGAGCTGACCCTGCTTAGCTTCTGAGTTCAGGTGTTCATTACAGCTCCGCCACCAGGCGGGAACAGTGTTGCGTGGTCAAGTAACTGTTTAAGCATCACATCATTCAAAATGGAAAAAAATGACCTGGTAATGAAGGGGTATTACAGGATGTTACTCAAGTGGTTCAAACATATTTGGAAAACAAATTTTACTTACCATCTTTTTGTCCATTTTTGCTTTGATGTCTCGTGCCAATGTAAAAAAAGCCTAATATAATTTGATAATTAAAGTATTAAAAGTATGTGTATATCTCATGTGTCATCTCAACAAAAAAAAAAAAGAAGAAAAGGAAATAAAATGTAAAAAAAGAAAAAAAAAAAAATTTGTTAAAACTCAAATTCAAAACTGAATGCAAAAAAACTTAATTAAATATTACGCCTAGTGAATAAATAGGTGATGATGTAATGTGAGTGCTTACATTACATAGAAGTTTACTTCCAAAAATGTTTGGTTGTGAAAAGCTTACCTCCATTTACTATCAACTACATAAAAAACGTCAATGCAAAAAAACAGAGCACAAATATAGATAAAAGCCAGCCATAGATGGATCAAATCTCGGCTGGTTCAGCAGGGACTATTAGTGAAAACTACACTGATGTACACAATATTATTAGGATGCATTTACCTTACGTTATTTCAACCATTTCGTCCATTTTGGATGCCGGGTAACCAACAATTTAACAGGATCATGCTGTTAGTACAATGTGCAAAAACAAAGACACAGCATCTACAATTCAGCCAGTAGTACATTTGTACTACTGGCTGAATTGTAGATGCTGTGTCTTTGTTTTTGCACATTCAAGTTTCAAGTGCATTTTTTATTAGAACATATATCTTTACATAAGTGGAATTTCAGGAGCTTAAAGTAACATGACAGAATGCTCACTCAAAGCCTTCAATTGTCTATCAGTGCTCCCTAGTGGAGAATTCATGTAACTTTCAGCAGAACCTCAAGCTGATAGAAAAGCTATATTAAAAGTACAGCTAAAGGCAAAACATTTTTGTTAGTTTTGGATAGAATGAAGATGGATTAGAACATGGTTTTTACTGCTGTCTACACTCTCATTAGGGAGATTATCCTATCTCTTTGTCCAGTTTACCGTTACCTTCAAAAAAAAAAAAATTTGGGTTGTCCTTAGAAAAATAAGTGGGACAAATCTTCCAACGGGAACACTAGTTCTGGTGAACTAGGAGTCCCCAAGGAATTCCCCCTTAATTTGCAGGGATTTATTCTCACTTCCTGTTTTGGCTATTGGACAGGAAGTGCAAGTAAATCTCCCCTATGGGACACAGCTGGCAAAAAATAAACTGACAGGTGTTATAACACTCCCTTATTCTAGGCAAAACTTTTTTTTTCCCCATTTTGGATATTGTTCTACTTTAAAATTTTCATTAATAAATTAGCAAGTGTATTTTTTTTTATGTAAAAACTGGATTTTTACTACATACTTACCTGTAAAAATCTGTTTCTTGGAGTACATCACAGGACACAGAGCAGGCTATTCATGACTGTGCTGGTTATATGTCACATATAGGTAAAATTGGACACTGGCTGACCAATCAGAGAGGAGGTCCCCCCCTATACATCCCTCCTAAACAGGAAGTACTTCAGTTTTTGTAGCAAGCAATGAAATTCCAGAAAGAGGAGGAGCGGGACCTCTGTGCCCCATGATGTACTCCAAGAAAATGATTTAACAGGTAAGTAATTTGAACAATCCAGTTTTCTTTATCATACATCATGGGACACAGAGCAGGCTATGCATGACTATGTGGGCAAAAAGAAATTTGAGAGGAGGGAGACACCATGCTAGCCACTGTCAATCCCTCAGGACCTACTCAGCCGTCCATAAAACACTGCAGCCAAAGGCAGAATCCTCTGCATCTCTGACATCCACCTGGTAGAACTTTGTGAATGTGTGAACCAAAGCTCATGTAGCAGCCTTGCAAACCTGAGCCACTGATGCCTGATGACGGAATGCCCAAGATGCCCCCACACTCCTGGTAGAGTGTGCCTTCACTCGAAAGGTTAGTACCTTACCATCCAAACCATAGGCTTGAATGATCAACTGGCGGATCCAACGTGAAATAGTCACCTTTGACGCCGCCTGCCCCTTCCTTGGTCCCACTGGCAGCACAAACAGAGCATCTGACCTCCTGAGCTGTGCTGTCACCTTCAAGAAGATCCTTATGAGTACTACATCCAAGGTATGCAGATATCTTTCTCTTGCTGACTAAGGCTCAGGAAAGAATGAAGGCAGAACTATGTCCTGATTGAGATGAAAACTATAAACCACCTTTGGTAAAAAAAAAAAGTCAGTTTAGGCTGCAACACCACATTATCATGATGCAAAACCAGAAATGGTTCTCCGCAAGATAGAGCTGCCAGGTCCAACACCCTTCTTGCAGAAGTGTTTGCCACTAGAAACAAAACATTACGAGTCAATAGGACCAGTGGAATCTCTCCAATAGGTTCGAATAGTGGTTTTTGCAAAACCTCCAAAACCAAGTTCAGGTCCCAAGGACAGAAAAGCAACCTGACAAGAGGAGTAATACGCATCACTCCTTGTAAAAAAAAGTGCGGACCAAAGACAGTGAGACACAATGGGCCTCTGGGAAAAAAAAATAGATAAAGCTGAAACCTTGCCCTTAAAATGGTACCTACAGCCAATTTCTCCTTCAACCCTGCTTGAAGAAATGAAATAATTCTACCAAACACATGCTTTCATGGGTGCCATTTGTGAACCTCACACTAAGAAATGTAAGTCTTACAGGTTCTGTAATAAATATTCATAGAAACGACCTTGGCCGAACACTCCTCCTGTACTGATGGTCTTCCAAACTGTTGCTTGGCTCGGTCAGAAAGACTGGCGAATGCCAATAGCTGCCACTGCTGGCTGTACAGCAGAACCTGCCAGAGAGATGGAGGCCTTAAGGAGAGATTTCAGCTTCTTATCTGCTGGATCCTTGAAAACATGGACATTATCCACAGGACATGTTAAAGATTTATTCAGGGATGAAACCGCTGCATCCACTACAGGGAAACTCCAGTTCTTAAACTTTTCTTCCATGGGGTACAACAAAGAAAACCTCTTTGGTGGATCAAAAACCCTGTCTGGGTGATCCCAGTCAGCTTATATCATTTGCTCCAGGAGAAGATGCACCGGAAAGGCCTGGGAGTACTCTGGAGGCTTTAAAAGTGCCCAGAGAAGAATACGTAACCTCAGAGGTTTCTATCGGAGGTAGCCTGAATCCAGACCATACCAAATCAGTGAGAATCTGGACTAAAAATCTCAGTGACTGGGAGGCAGTGTTCTCTTGCTTTTCCTCAGGCTGTGACTTCTCAGACAGAGATTCTACCACTTGACCTTCCTCCACATCCTCAGGTTCCACCCATTGGTGGTTCTAGTGATGGGGATATATCTCGCTTATTAGTCCCGAGAAACTGATGCAATCATCCTTGCAATCTTATCTTCTAAGCCCGCTAAGGCTGAAGTAAGATCATCCTTGGTTACAAATGCCGAGTTGCTTCTGGCCTCTCAGGAGAGGATAATACAGAGGACCTACAGCTAGGTTCCTCAGGACCTGGCGGTGGCACATTGGTGCTCTTTCCTGCTGCACCCCCTCCACTCCGCTTTCTGGAAGACATTACTTTAGACAGCATAAAACCTGTGACCCTTCACTAGTAAACACAGGCCACAAGATACAGCTATGCAAGTAGTTTGCTGAAGAAAAAACACTCACTGCAACTGCTGACCTTTTGAGCCACTAAGCACGGTTCCTGACTGACTGGCTAACTCTGCCCCCTCAGGAGAGTACTCGCGTGCCCCACTGAATAGCCTGCTCTGTGTCCCGGCCACAGGAATCCCTCAGTAGAAGTAGCAGCAGTAGCCCACGTGTGTCCTGGCCTCCAGATAAATATGGCAGACTTCGGTTTCCGGCCGCTACTGCGCATGTGTGCACGATCCTCGTGTGCACGCGCCCTACGGCTGGCTGTACTCTATCTAGTGACTGAAAACAAAAAAGGCAAGCATATCTTGGGGGGGGGGGGGGAAATCGCAAGCACTCCTCCTGGTGGAAACCACAGTCACAACACCTCTCCTTTTCCCTCCAATTTAGAGCTTTATTGCTTCTCTGAGAGAGAAAAAAAAAAAAGGGAGATATCTAACCTGTCCAGCTACAGGTCCCTGACTTACACCAGGCACAAACATTCATTCATCACGCCGGGCATTGTCATACAGACCTTCAAGTACCCGGTCCCCATACTGAGGGGACAGTACCTTGGACAATACAGCAGCCCGCTGAAAGCGCCTTGGTGAGATTTAAAACTGCACAGGGTTCCCATCTGCGCAGGGTCCAGCGCCGTAAGGCTGCATTACAGGCAAAACCTTGAGGATTCTTCTCCTTATCCAGTGAGGCTCGGGTATCATCCATTTTGGCTCACAGCTTTCCGAATGGATCCGATTCAAGTCCCCTATTCTCTAATGGAACTATCCTGGACTTTCAGGTATGCTCCAAGAGCACAGCAACACTTTGCGACCATCCACCTTACAGACACTGGCAAAAAAAACGGAAGTATTTCCTGTGTAGGAGGGGTTATACAGGGGAGGACCTCCTCTCTGATTGGTCGGTTATTGCCCATTCACCTATAGGTGGCCTATAACCTAAATAGTCATTGATAGCCTGCTCTATGTTCCGTGCTGTACGATAAACAAAGCAAATGTTCCTGATTTAGACTTGGTATCTGCTCCTATCAGTCTCCTGTACAGCTGCACACAGACTGAGACAGGTCAGGGCAATACTAGAAGACAATCAGCTGTGCCCCATTCAAAATGTTTTGACAAGAATTCAACATGATGGTGAGGAAACAAGCATTTGCAGAATGAAAAGTTAGCCCTCACGTTTTTCCCAGAACATGCTTTGTTTATTCTAGAACACCTGCATTGTTTGCAGCACTTCTGGGTTTTTATTCAGTGTTATATACATGTTAAAGCTGAACTTCAGGAATTATTGTATTGCATACTTACATTGGTCTGCACTACTACAGTAATAGCCACGATCTGTTGGGTCCTGCACAGGTTCTATGCACGTGGCTTACCCTCTGTACACAGAATACAAGTGGTTTGTTGCGCAGTACCACCATACATAGAATTATCTTCCTTTTTTTTTTTTCATTGAATGTGTTTTCTAACTGGATGAGGTTGTGATGTCACTAACCCTTCTCTCCATCTCCTTTGATCATAATGCCTTGTATTCCTTAATGGAGAAGCATTGCCAAAGCTTTTTGGATATACTCCTCTTATGGATCGCAGGGGCACCGTTCAGATAAAGCCCGCTGTTGGCTGATGTCACTCATCCAGTCTAGGCTCAGGAAGGATCCTAACTTTACAGCCAGGACCCATCCAGATGCCCAGGCCAGCAGCTGGCTCATCCTCTCAGCAAGCAGATGCCCGGACCAGCAGCTGGCTCATCCTCTCAGCAAGCAGATGCCCGGACCAGCAGCTGGCTCATCCTCTCAGCAAGCTGCTGGGAGACTGAACCACACTCCCGCCCACTTCATAGCTCAGCACTCCAGTGAGAGCTGGATGGACAGAGCAGAAAGCCGGTGACTGACAGTCCCCGGGTCTCTCTGCTCACTGAAGGCCAAGAACTAACAATTAGCAGTTTTGATCACTCAGTACTCAATCTTACAGCTGGGAGGGACAGATGCAGCAATCTACTTAGGCGAGTGTAATTTTTTTTTTTTTTTTTTTTAGATTACCTCATACTACGCTTTAAAAAATTGACAGCCTTCCCCCCGCTGTGCTATTGTGTTCTGACACATGACATGAGCTGCCAGTGCTGATTGGATGCTTGTTTTCCAGCATGCCTGTTCAATAGAAGCGGGTCATGAGACCGGCTTCTGTTGAAAAGATGGCTATACACATAGAACCTGAGCAGGAACCCGAAGATCACGGATATCACTGTAGTATCACTGACTACTGCAGTGATTATCAGCTTCCGCAGCAGCCCATCAGGTGTGAGATATGCATACTTACACAGTGGCCAAGCTGGACAAATTTAAGTAAGCAATCCAAAATATTCCTGGAGTTCAGCTTAAACCCACACTTAGTTTTAGGTAGCATGAGAAAGGTTTAGAACATGTGCCAGGTTTTAATTGTGATTATGACTCCAACAGTGAGATTTTCCTTGGCTTTCATTTCTGTAACACCAGGACAAGAAATTAGGGGAATGGTAGTCACCATGAAAGGATAGCAATGACAGCAAAAAGAACAGAAGAAGAGACACAGCACCTCTAAGTGTAGACTGTATGACAGCTTTAATGATTAAAAAGGTACGTTTAACAACTCACATCTTGGTAATGTAAAACAGGCTCAGAGGGGTAATTGTGCAGAGCGCCTATCGCCAGATGATGAAAACCGCACTGGGAGTGATACCAGCTGATCAGCAGGAAGAGCTGGAGGGAGGAGAGGTGTTGGTGGTAAAGCCTGGCAGGTTCTCTAACATGTCCAGAGCGGTGGCGTTGGCATCTTGCCTGAAGAAAGAGTGCGCAAGTCCACATTGGTCCTCGCACATGGTCAGAAATGTGTCGCATCCTGATGACGTCAGATGCCAATGAGACCGCTCCGGACATACTAGAGAACCTGCCAGGCTTTACCATCAACGCCTGTCCTCCCTCCAGTGCTTCCTGCTGATTGGCCGGCATCACACCCAGTGCGGTTTTCAACATCTGGCGATAGGCGCTCTGCACAATTACCCCTATGAGTCTGTTTTACATTACCAAGATGTGAGTTTTTCAGCTTACCTTTGTAATTATTAAAGTTGTCATGCAGTCTACACTTAGAGGCGCTGTGTCTCTTCTTCTGTTCCTTCTACTCTAGAGCTCTGCTTCACTCTACCACAGCCTGCCCTAGTGTTTCAGACTGAATTGCCCTCTGCCTGACGTGGAACACATATCCATTAATTTAAAGACATTATGCACTGCATAATTCATGTGCATGTTCACTCTCTTTTACCATGACAACAAAAAGAACATAACCTTTTCCCACTCGAACAAATGTGTATTTCTGTCCGCACTGGAGAGATTTCCTATCACTCCCTCTCCCTCTAAACCCTGTCACCAGGGCAGAAAGGAAGGCAAAATCTCAATAAAGACATAGAAATGAAAATCTGATAGAAAGGGATTAATGAAAGAAGCCATAAATGTATGGTTTATGATCAAGGTAATAAAAAAAAAAAAATCACTAACTTACATTTTCCACATTAATATTGGCCTTTGCACTAGTCTCCATAAATTTAATTCCATATTCAAGTGCCAGCTGGAAAAAAAAAATGAAAAAAAAACAATATTTGATAACTGGAGCAGAACATTAAAATGTACGTATGATGATATAGTGAATTTAGGTGGCTGAACTTTTAGTAGGACATGTGAAGCACTAGCCTGTCAAACTTAAAGATGTTGTTATAGATCTTCAGTGAAAAGTAGCCAACATTTTTTTCCCTTTTTTCCTAAAGACCAGTTCACACCAGGATTTCATGATGCGCTTTGACAGTCAATTCATTTGAATAGGCTGCAAAGTGCACTGGACTTTAAGAAAGGTAGTGCTTGCACTACTTTTAAAAAGCTGGGCACCAAACAGCACGGTACTGTAGTACCATGCAATTAGGTGCCAGCTGTGTTTGTGATCTGTATCCGGGGTGCAAATAATACATTGGCACCCGCATGCAGATGGCAAGGGCAGTCCGTTTACCTGTGGTGCGGGAAAGGCGCACGGTACGTGCCTTTCCCACACTGGTTTACGCTGAGAACTAGCCCCACATTGTGGAGCAAATTTAGAAGATGTAAAAACAAAATATAGTGGATGGCAGAAAAATCAACAGAAATAGCCTTAAAGTGACACTAAAATTCTGGATTAAAAAAAAGTATTGTTAAATAAAAAAAAAAAAAAAGAAAAACAAATAAAAAAGTACCTTCTGTTGATCTCAGCTTCCTGCAAATCTTCATTTTTTTTTTTTTTGCTGTTGTGGTCCATCTTTCTGTCAGAGGATGGCTATGTTCATTCTTCACAGTCCCACTGTATAAAGGAACATAGCCACCCTCTTTTGCACGCTCCTGAGATCAGCTAGGGACTATGGGATTTGTAATGTGCATAGAGCAGTAGACATGACTGCAATGAATGGACACTGCTCATTCCAAACGAATGGAAGTAAAGGGAAAAGGAGAGGTTCAGAAGCTTACCTCTCCTGCAGGATGTTATAAAGGAGGTGGAAAAACACAGTAAGAAAAAAAATGTAAATCACACATTTATACCAGGGCCATTAGCTAATGGATATGTGAGAATTAACTTTGGAGAATTAGGATAGTGCCACTTTAAAGTGAACCTGGATTTGACCCATTTAGGACAAAGAAACAGGTTCACTTTATTCGCTGAGCCTCCAGGCGTGTGGCTTGCTCCTAACAACCAGTAAGCATCACAGTCTCACCTTCCCAGAGGAGGTACAGACTAAAATTTGTTTGCTGCACTTCAACAGGTAACAGTTTGTTTACGCATATAACTGTGTGTACTACATGATAGAAACAAAAATGAAAAAAAGGAGAAACGTTTTGATTTGAGCCTTTTAGATGGCATATTATACATCATTTTGAAAAAAAAAAAAAATTTTTTGTTGGCTTACAAATTGATTTTGAACAAGGCTCCAAGCCCTCCTACCTTTTTCCCCCTTCTCTTTAGAAACTTGTCGTTTTTCATTCACGTCACATTTGTTTCCAAGAATCATTTTTTCAACATCAGCAGATGCATGCTGCAAAAAAAACAAACACACACATCAATCGTCATACCTCCATTCTAATAAAAAAAATAAAAAAAAAAACCCAGCACCTGTAGGAAAACCCCAGTTCTTCCAATAGCTCTGTAAGGCTTGTTCACGCAACAATAATCAGCATTTTGGATGTGTTTTTGCATATGCATTTACGTGTATTTTTGATGCCTTTGACACTTTTTAAATGCAGTCCAGTGCATTTTTTCCCCTTTTTTATATTGACACTTGAAAAATCTTTATTAGGACAATGTGCATTCCAGTGCACTTACATGCATTTTGAAGAATTTCAGATGAAGAAAAAAAAAAAAAAAAAAAAAACGCTGCAGGTATTTTTTTGTAAGCACTGGAACTGACCATGGAATACATGGTCAACACAGTGCATGCAGTCTGGATGTGGTTTTAAAAACACAATGGAAAAGCAACTGTTGTAAACCTGCCTTAATGTTCTGTGAAAAAAAACAAGATTCTTTACATATAGCACTCGATTTACTATATTGCATGGTCAATTAATTTACTATACCCCCTAATTTCTGCAAAAGCATTGCACAGCTTGCAGCTTTATAAATATGGAATTTACAAAGAAGTGCGGTTTGCTATGAAATGTATACACCAAGATATGTGAACCGCAAAATTAATTTACAGGGAGAGAGCTTACAGAGACCGGGTCATACCAAAGGTTGTGCTCTGAAATCGGAAAGTAGTCATGGTACACAAGGGTCTGGAAAGCACCACACTATGGTCCCCTGTGCCTGAAGGTCACAAACATTCCTGTTTATCTTCTTCCATCCATTGGTCTACGCTGAGGGAGTCTTCAAAAACTGGGTCATACCAGAGGCTGTGCCATGATTCTGGACCTGGCAAGGGCTCTGTTGTAGAGGTATGGAAAGAACCACAATTACAGCTTTGTGCCCGAAGGTCTTATTTTAGGCAGGCTCCTCAATCTACGGTCAAGCATGGTATTAGTAAGACCTCCAAATCTATACTAGATAAGTGCTGAATCACATAGCTTATGTATACCAGCTCAAGCAGTGTGAAAGAGTTTTGATTGAAGTGAAAAAACATCCAGGAAGGACCAATAATTTTGATAAAGGTGAAATGTCAAACATACAGATAGAGTTTTCCTCAGAGTTAGGGAAAAATCACCCAACCTCTTAGGCCACTAGCAAAAAAACAGAAGCATGTTGGTTACAAGTGGCGTTATACAGGGGCTGGTCCTGGAATTTTTTCTGTTTGCCATTGTTCACATCCTGAAGGCAGTTGCATATTGCCAAACTGTCAAAAATTACTATCTTCCTGTGTCCATAACCATACTGTGAGACGGTTAACATGGCTCCAAGTTAACCCTTCAGCAAAGGTCCAATTTAAAAGTATTACCATGAGGAAGACTTCCCTCAACTTCTCTTCTAGAAATGCCACAGGAATTGAGAGGAAGCCCAGCTTTAACTAGAAGTAGTATCGCTATTTGGAGATGACCACTCTTTTTTCTGATGATGATTGTGAGAGCGAGTCTCAAACTAGACAGCAATAGAATAACTGACAGATGTAATATTTTCACAGTCTATCTTAGGCTGCAGGTACACTTTAACAGCCTAGTAATGCAGTGGTCTCTAAACAGAGGACTGCGGGCCACATGCTTGTCTTTATCTGGCCCTTGAGGCACTATTCCTCCCACTGATACAAAAGATAGTGCACAGTTCCTTCCATTGCACTGTTCCTTCCACTGACACCAACAATTGGGCACTATTCCTCCTCCTACTGACCACAGGCACTATGTCATTTTCTTTCTCCTACTGACATCAAAGTCAGAGGCATGGTATACTCCCACTGAAACTCAAGCATTTTCTAATACCAATGGCCACAGTCTGGCCCCCCAAGAAGCTGAAGGACAGTAATCTGGCCCTTTGTTTAGAAAGTTTGGAGACCCCTGATGTAAAGCATTAAAACTTTTACTGGTTGACAAGAAAATAAACTTAAAAAGATGCACAGTCCACGCCCAAACTCCTACATCAAAACTTAATAAAATGTTAAAATACAGATTGGTTAACAATGCTGAACATATGTATAGACAATTCATAAATAGGAAGCAGCTCTTGCTGCTGCTCGAGTATCTGCATGAAGAGGAAGAGAGGGCAGAAAAGATGCAGTAGTGCACAGCAGTGGATCTCTTCTCCCCTCACTTCCTTCACACAGGGAAGGGGAGAGACAGGGGAATAAAAAAACGCTTTTTACCTTAATGCAAACAATGCATGAAGTTAAAAAAAACTTTTTAGCTTTAGTATCACTTTAAGAAAGCTTTCAGGAAAAAAGTGTTAATAGTTTATTTTTATTAACCACTTCCACTCTGCCCTATAGCAGAAATACTGCTACAAGGGCGGCAGGGGTGCACAAAATCACATATATATATATATATATATATATATATATACATACATACATACATACATACATACATACACACACGATTTTGTAGTTCCGGGTAGGGGGATCTCTTCCCTGTCAGCTCCTGCACACTGCTTTGTATGGCTCTGCATAGCAGTCATACAGAGCAGTGTGCTTACAGTGAAACACAGACAGCCCACGTAGTAAAACAGCACACAGTTAACACTTTGACCACCCCACGTTAACCCCTTCATGCCCAGTGCCATTAGTACAGTGTCAGTGCATTTTATTAGCACTGATCGCTGTATTGGTGTCACTGGGGATGTCAGTGACACCAAATCAGTTCCCCCCCAGTGTCAGAATGCCCGCCGCAATTCTGCTGTAAGTTGCTGATCACCGCCATTACTAGCAAAAAATAAAAACATTAAAAAAAAAATTCCAGTATCTATACTGCCATTTGTAAACGCTAAAACTTAAGTATTGGGATTTTTTTTTTTTTTAGCAGACATGTAGTATAATACATTTTGGCCTAAATTTATGATGAAATTAGATTTTTTTACTGGACATGTTTAATAGCAAAAAGTCAAAAACATTTTTTTCTGAAAAAAATCGGGCAGCACAGTGGCTAAATGGTTAGCACTTCCACCTGGCAGTACTAGGGTCGTTGGTTCAAATCCCAACCACGGCACCTCCTGCCTGGATTTTGCATGTTCTCCCTGTGCCTGCGTGGGTTTCCTCCGGGTACTCCGGTTTCCTCCCACACTCCAAAGACATGCTGGTAGGTTCATTGAATCCTGTTTAAATTTGCCATAGTATGTGTATGTATGAATGTAAGTTAGGGACCTTAGATTGTACGCCCCTTGAGGGTTAGGGACTGATGTGAATGTACAATATATATATATGTAAAGCGCTGTGTAAATTGACGGCACTATAGAAGTACCTAAAATAAAGTCAGATTTTTTGGCTTATAGCGCAAAAAATAAAGAACACACAGGCGATCAAATATTACCAAAAGAAAGCTCTATTTGTGGGGGAAACAAAGGGTGTAAATTTCAACTGGGTGGAGTGTTGCATGAACACGCAATTGGCAGTTAAAGTAACGCAGCGCCATATCGCAAAAATGGCCTGGTCAGGAAAGGGGGTAAATCCTCTGGAGGGCAAAAAGAGAAATCCAAATCAAATCAATATTTGGTGTGACCACCCTTTGCTTTCAAAAGCAGTATCAGTTCTTCTAGGTACATTTGCACACAGTTTTTTAAGGAACTTGGCATGTAGGTTGTTCCAAACATCCAAACTACCCACAAATTTTCTGTGGATGTAGGCTGCCAGAAATCCCTGTCTCTTCATGTAATCTCAGACAGACTATGTTGAGATCAGGGCTCGGTGGGGGGCCAAATCATCACTTCCTGGACTCTTTGTTCTTAACACTGAAGACATTGGCTGTATGTTTTGAGTCATTGTCCTGCTGCAGAATAAACTTGTAGCCAATCACACACCTCCCTGATAGTATGGCATGATGGAGAAGTATCTGAGATTTGGTCAGGATCATTGGTGTCCTCAATCCTGAGAAATACAGGCAAAGTCCATTTGCAGAAATGCAGCCTCAAAACTTGCCAGGAACTTCCACCATGCTTACTTGCTGCCTGTACACACATTGTTATACCACTCTCCAACCCTTTGCCAAACTCCTGCTACAGTCAAATATTTCAAATTTTGACTCATCAGTCCAAAGCACCTTCTTCCATTTTCTGCATGCCAGTTCCTATGTTTTCATGAATAGCTGAGTTGCTTAGCTATGTTTCCATGAAGGTATGGCTTTTTGGATGCAAATCGTCGATGAAAACCACTTCTGGCCAGACTTCTCCAGACAGTAGATGTGTCTTTCATATGCTGCATCACGTTTCCTTGGCCAGCCACTGCAGCTACGGTCCTCAGCGTTTCCTGCTTTCTTGTGTTTCTTCAAAAGAGCTTGAACAGCACATGTTAAAACCCAAGTCTGCTTTGAAATCTTTGCCTGGGAAAGACCTTGGTGATGCATGTAACTGTTTTGTGTCTTGTTGCTGTGCTCAGTCTTGCCAAGGTGTATGACCTGTGATATCAAACTTTCTTTCACAACCTCACCTTACTAGCAGAGTCTGGCTGTTCCTCATCTAGTTTTAAGCCTCCTACATAGCAGTTTCTGTTAATGACAGTGTTTAAACCTACATATGAAATTGGTATACACCTGCTTGGTATAACTGGTTAATCATACAGCTTACTTTGTGCATGTGTAAGAACTGATGCTAAAGCCAAAATCCCTGGCTTTGTGCATGTGTAAAAATTTATGCTAAAGCCAAAATGATAATCACATCAAATAATGATTTGATTTAGATTTTTCTGTTCGACCCCTTTGCATTTTGTAAGTATTTTTCAAAGCATTTGTACTGAACCATATCTCTTCACATTTGCCATGACAATCTACTTGTCCTGAAAAAAAAAAAAAAAATTTCGAATCAAAGTCGTATTTCAGTCTGAGGTGCTTTTAGGAATGTCTTTTAAAAACAAAAAGGGGCTTTATGGCAACTTAAACGGTTTTAACATTGCACTGTTTATCTCCTCCTCAC